TTATTGTCAAATTAGTTTCTACATAACACTCAGTGCTCATCCCCAAAGTGCCCTCCTCCATGCCCATCCCCCCCTCCCCCCCACATCCATCAGTCCTCAGTTTTTGTCAGCATTCAAGAGTCTCTCATGGTTTGCCTCTCTCCCTTTCCCCCACCATTTCCGCCCTTCTTCTCCCCCTTGTTCCTCCGTCAAGTTCCTCCTAATCCTCCTATACGTGCAAACATATGGTATTTGTCCTTCTCTGCCTGACTTATTTCGCTCAGCATAACACCCTCAAGGTCCATCCATGTTGCTACACATGGCAGATTTCATTGTTTCTCATTGCCATGTAGTATTCCATGGTATAGATAAACCACATCTTCTTGATCCATTCGTCTGTTGATGGACACTTAGGCTCTTTCCATGTTTTAGCTATTGTGGAGAGTGCTGCTATGAACATTGGGGTACATGTGCTCCTATGCCTCAGCATTTCTGTATCCCTTGGGTAAATTCCTAGCAGTGCTATTGCTGGGTCATAAGGGAGTTCTATTGTTAGTTTCCTGAGGAACCTCCACACTGTTTTCCAGAGGGGCTGTACCAGTTTACATTCCCACCAACAGTGTAGGAGGGTGCCCGTTTCTCCACATCCTCGCCAGCATCTAGAGTTCTCTGATTTGCTCATTTTAGCCACTCTGACTGGCGTGAGGTGGTATCTCAGTGTGAAAACCTGGTTAGTTCTGCACATCTGGGAACTCAATATAAATATCATACTGTTGACATTCTTTTATAATTCCTTTTGCAGCTCAATAGTATGCTCCTGGGATCCACCCACTGGTTGTGGGCAACTACAATCCATTCTTTTCCACTGTTGTACAGTTTGGCTAGATTCTCAAGAACTTATTTACAGTCTACCTGACTTTCCACATTTCTCAGACCTGGTCCATACCCAGTGTGGTTCAGCCATTAATTTTCACCTGGGGAGAAATTATCTTTGAGAGTCTTAAAACCAGGAAATGTTTGCTTCTCCTTAGACCTCTTAACTTGGTAATTCTGATTTAGAGGTACTGGAGCAAACTCCGGTCCCCACAGAACTTCTTTTTTTTTAATTTTTAATTACATTTATTTATTTTTGAGAGACAGAGGGAGACAGAGTACAAGTCGGGGAGGGGCACAGAGAGAGGGAAAAACAGAGAGAGGGAAACACAGAATCCAAAGCAGGCTCCAGGCTCTGAGCTGTCAGCACAAAGCCCAATGTGGGGCTCGAACCCACAAACCATGAGATCATGACCTGAGCTGAAGTCGGACTGAGCCACCCAGCCACCCCTCCCAGGGAACTTCTTAAGGAGCTAATGATTCAGGTAGTTTTGACAGTACACAAGAAGTCCAGCTGTGTAAGAGTTAACTATTTTTCCTGCTTGCACTAGAGATGACATGTATAAGGCTCTGGAAAAAAAAGTCATTCTATTAATTTTTCTTTGCTGAAGTAGCAGGAATATGCTGCAGTACAGTATAGAAGCAGGTATCCCTCATCCTTCAAAAATTCCCCAGGTGAAATATGTAGCCCAAAGAGGAGAACATTTAAGGGAATGATCAGTCAGAGAAAAAAACTGATGATTGGCTCAAAAGGAAAGGGGAGCTAAAGGGCCTGACTCCTTGGACAAGAATGTTCCCAGAACACCCATACCCACCAGCCAATCTGCTCTTGCCCTTGTTCCCTTCTACCTTCCATCACATGGACATATCCTGAGCACCTACAGTGCAACAATGAATCCCATTAGGCCTCACCTCGTGGCAGCCTAGCAGGAGATGATACAGTGCAGTAAGGCCTGCTCCCTTACTCCATGCAGGGCCCTGTTCAAATGTCACCTTTTCAGAGAAGCCTTCCCTGAGCACTATATCCAGCCAGCTACTACTCCCTTCCAGCACTCTGTCATCTGACCTGGTTTTATTTTTCTTCGTAGAACTTCTCGCCACCTGATGTGATATTTGCCTTCCACTGACAGGTAAACGTCACATGGGCTGAGAACACTGGACAGAGAGGACACACTCTGTAGGCACATGATGAAGGAAGGAAGTAATAATAGGGGTATGCACATGAGGCTCTGTGAGCACACAGAAGGGGGTAAATTCAGCTTTGGCTGGTTCTGGCAAGGATGACAGCTGATCTAACAGCTCAGCTAACAGCTGTCAGATGACAGTTCTGATGGATGAGCAGTTTAAGTTGGACAAGTCTCTCTCTGGACTAGGCCTGCAACTGTCCTCGCCCGCATCCCCATCTCTCCCCCACCTCACTTGCAGCCTGTTCTAGTGAAGACTTTTCTCACTCATTTGGGGGTTCTCCAAAACATAGCACAGGGACTTGCATCCATTCATTCCACAAATACTTATAAAGCACCTACGAGGTACCCATTACTGTTCTACATAGAGGAGAAAATTTTAACATTTCTTTAAACTGAACAGCATAAAAAAAAGTCTGGGATTTTGTTTAAGTCTCTTTGGTCAAAGAGAACTTTTCATAAAATTCAGATGATATGGCCTTTAAAATATAAAATAGTTCTCAGAACTTGTTCTCACTGCTTTGCAGTATTTCAATGAAGACACTCTTTTCCCAGTGGGGGAAAAAAAAGAAAAATAAATAAAACAGTTCCATACATATACGACAGAATACTATTCAGACATTAAAAAAAGAATGGAATCTTGCCATTTGCAACAATAAAGAAAGACCTTGAGGGTATCGTGCTAAGTGAAATAAATCAGACAAAGACAAACACTGTACCATCTCACTTACATGTGGAATCTAAAAAATAACCAAATAAAACAAAAACAAGCTAACAGATCCAGAGAACATACTGGTGGTTGCCAGAGGGGAGATGAGGGTGGAGGAGTGGATGAAACTGGTGAAGGGATCAAAAGGTACTAACTTCCAGTTATAAAATCACTAAGCCATGGGGGGGGGGGCGCCTGGGTGGCTTAGTCGGTTAAGCGTCCGACTTTCGCTTAGGTCATGATCTTGCGGTTCGTGGGTTCGAGCCCCGCGTCGGGCTCTGTGCTGACTGCCAGCTCGGAGCCTGGAGCCTGTTTCG